GGGATATTGGGCTCGTAATATTTCCACTCAACTAGACACACTTATGGCTGACGAAACTTTGCAGTGCATTACTCCACAATTCAACTTAAATCTAATCATATTCCTTAGGTCAATGGGTGCACAAAGTCTCGTCAGAGACTTTTTACTAACTTGCAAGTTCATCCCAACGATACGAAGCGTGAAGCCGAACTCTAAGGAGCGCTTGTCAACTGTCGTCTGCGAGGTCCGTTACGCCTAACGTATCTGCTCGCCTTCTTTGTCCTATCATTTCACGCAAGATACAGTGACGTCAACCGTGAAGATGGACGTGATATGTATCTCCGAAACGCTACTAACCACCTACAAGATTTACCAACATTCTCCGCAGTCCAGAATCGAAATCATCACTGCCCTGAGAAGCCTCAGATCTAAGCATAATCTTGGTACAGAACTCTGTCCATGTTCTCGCCCTCTGTGGCCGAGATAAAACACCTGCTCACTACGACATTCGATTTCAGTTACCGCGGAAAAGATAAAACGAAAATGTATCAAACTTCACGGTGCACTGACTTCTTTGAAACGTTTATTACAGTTCAATTGGCCAAGACATTTTCTGCTTTTATGGAACATGGAACCCCTGGATTCACGCTTCATCACCTACCATTTTAATATTATCCTCCGACCTACGCGGTCTCTGCTTTTAAAGTTTCCCACCAGAAATCTTGGATCGTCGGGGCCCATGTTCGTTCATTACGTCGTTAGCATTCGGGTCAGGGGATTCAATCCGCTACGCGGGTTCTTTGTCATCAACATGGAAAGGCGTGTCCGCAAGCTAGGGACGGCGGAGGTCTCTAGATATGGAGGACACATTCAAGGGATGGTCCTACGGCTTGCAGGTTGGAAAAAAGAAAATGTTACGAATCGGTAACACAAATTTGTAACTTGGAATATCGAAGTCTCTATAAGTCCGGTTCTTTTAAAACAGACAGTTTGCTGAATACAGAAGCTGTGATCGGCGTTGGCCACTTCCCAGAACTAACGTTGGTCGTGGTCCGTGTTGAAGAAGTGGTAAAACTCGTCTTCCTGCTTGCATCGATGAAATTGATCAGGTGACGGGCTGGTTGCACTAATAAAGGAAAAATGTAAGAATGAATGGACCGGGGGTGATGATACAACTTGGACGCAAGGGCTGATCTTTTGAAATCGGTCAGTGAAATGTCTTTCTTTATCAGGCGTTAGTGTTGACGGCCTGATAAATCTCTCCCGCGTGGACGTGGACGTCGCCCTTTGTCCGACAAAGCTTTAACATCTCAAGTACTGAGTCAGTCCACTCATGCGGTGCACCACGAGAACATGGGAACTACCCAAGTACGTCTAATCTACACAAACAATTGGCCCGCCTTCCTGTCTGTCTGTCTGTCGATACTTATTTCCTGCTCAAAGCTCCGATTTCGCTGCTTCTCAACTGTCGGTAGTTTTCTCCCACAAACAAAGACACAAACAACGTCGTGAGTGGCAGACATCCAGAGACACAGCAGGAGAAGAAATGTATTACAGACAAAACCGTGTTCAACATCTGAAACACAACTTCACGAGCGTTCCTAGTGACTGATGTATCGTCTCATTGTTTTTGTTGGACGTGACGAAGTAGCGATTTCAGGGTCGTCTCCGTTTCTCTGTAACGTTGAAATTGTGAAGAAGTCTCGTTATGACTTTTTCATCAAAACGAAATATACATCTGCAACAAACTTCCTTTTTCCTCCCCGGTCGTGATCTTTCCTTACGGAAACTGTCTCTCATTTTTTCAATGTATTTTCCTGGTTCTTGCCAGCGTTCGTTTCGAAATGCCAGTGGCAGTCAATGGCCAATGTTCTCGAACAAACACGTTTTAACGGAACCGTCATTCCATTAAATTCCTTCTCTGATATGAACTTCGGCACATTGTACTCTACTTCACGTCCTTGGCCAAGGATGACTTTATGACTTAGACAACGCCTTTACTCTAGGACGAAGTTTTCCTTCAGGTGACAGGTTTTACGAATCTCTTCTATCGTCTCAAATCTCCTTCCCTTCAGCTGAATTTTCATCTTTGGGAAGAGGAAGAAGTCACACGGAGCTTAGAAAGGAAGTTGGGGTCGGTTCTTGCAAGATCTTTGAGCTCCTGACAAACGAGAAGTCGATTCTGCTTCTGGTCCTCAGACAGGATGCGGCGCATGTGGAGTTCTTCCTTTAGAATCAGCTGACAGGCCCCATAGCCTATCCCAACAATGTCGCACAAATCGTTGATGGTACGACGTCGATCTTCGTAACATTTTCGGGCGTTGTGCGCGAAGATGGTCGTCCAGAACGCTCGTCATCATCATC